AGTATGAGGCATCTGATGTTTCTAATGTTCTAATTCTATCATAAGCAGTAGATCCAAAAGTCTGAGACCACAAATGATAATGCTTTTATTTGAATTTTTTTCCAATTTAATCAAGAATTTAAGTGAAAAGTTTTTTAAAAATTACATTAAATGTCTTAGTATTTGGTTTACCCTGACAAATTTAATATGTAAACAAACGGCATGTAACAAACCCAATCTGGCCAAACACAAAACTGATTTAGGTCTGTAAGTCCTTCCTTCTAAAAAAATTACACACTGTTGTATGATCATAATATCAGGAGGTATATATATATATACAGGTGCATCTCAATAAATTAGAATGTCGTGGAAAAGTTCATTTATTTCAGTAATTCAACTCAAATTGTGAAACTCGTGTATTAAATAAATGCACACAGACTGAAGTAGTTTAAGTCTTTGGTTCTTTTAATTGTGATGATTTTGGCTCACATTTAACAAAAATCCACCAATTCACTATCTCAACCAATTAGAATACTACATAAGACCAATAAAAAAACATTTTTAGTGAATTGTTGGCCTTCTGGAAAGTATGTTAATTTACTGTACATGTACTCAATACTTGGTAGGGGCTCCTTTTGCTTTAATTACTGCCTAAGACTCAAAAATACACAGCTACTCCAAAAAAAAAAAAAAAAGACTAAAACTAGCACTAATATTACACGTAAATTACCCAACCGAAATTTTTGAACAGTTCCAAGCAGCATATTCAACCCTCTACGCACACCTTGGCAATATAATCGACATTGGCTAGTACATTTTTTGTTTACTCGCCAGACTGATATACTATTTTACACACACACACACGTTTACTTAGCTATCTAAATGGGGACATTACATAGACTTCTATTGTTTTTATATACAGATAGTTATACACTTTTTAACCTAAACCCACCGACCCCTAACCATTCCCCTCACAGAAAACTTTACGCATTTTTACAATTTCAAAAGTAAAAAAAAAAAACTTTGTTTACTTTATTTTTAGAACAGTTTTACAAATGAGGACATCCACAAATTGATGTTTTTGCCGATTTTGTCAGGTTTTGCTCACTTTTGGGTACAAATTTGTCCCCAAAATATGGTTAAGTAGGTACACACACACACACACACATGATTCCACCCAATCAGCTTATCTTTGTAAAATGGAACAGCTTCTTAAATAACTGAATGTGCACTCTTAACTTCAGCCAATCAAGCATTATATTATGATAATAGCTACTCCAAAAAAAAAAAAAAAAGACTAAAACTAGCACTAATATTACACGTAAATTACCCAACCGAAATTTTTGAACAGTTCCAAGCAGCATATTCAACCCTCTACGCACACCTTGGCAATATAATCGACACTGGCTAGTACATTTTTTGTTTACTCGCCAGACTGATATACTATTTTACACACACACACACGTTTACTTAGCTATCTAAATGGGGACATTACATAGACTTCTATTGTTTTTATATACAGATAGTTATACACTTTTTAACCTAAACCCACCGACCCCTAACCATTCCCCTCACAGAAAACTTTACGCATTTTTACAATTTCAAAAGTAAAAAAAAAAAACTTTGTTTACTTTATTTTTAGAACAGTTTTACAAATGAGGACATCCACAAATTGATGTTTTTGCCGATTTTGTCAGGTTTTGCTCACTTTTGGGTACAAATTTGTCCCCAAAATATGGTTAAGTAGGTACACACACACACACACACATGATTCCACCCAATCAGCTTATCTTTGTAAAATGGAACAGCTTCTTAAATAACTGAATGTGCACTCTTAACTTCAGCCAATCAAGCATTATATTATGATAATTAAGCACTTTTTAATGATAGAACTAGTGATTAGAACTAAAACTTGAATGAATGCATATTTGTCATTTTAACTGAACTTAGGACTGGTGGTGGTGTTTAAGATATTGTTGGTCATAGATAATAGTAATTATTATTAAAAGATACTACTACTACTACTACTATTATTATCTGCTGGGTTCATGAATATTAATCACGTTGTCAGCGTTCGCTCAAACTGATTTGCTGAAATCAAAACAGGGACGGTAATAGATGAGCGCCAACCAACGAGAGCCGTTCGTGCATTAGCTCCGCCCACTGCTGAGAAAGCGGCATATCTTCTGCTTGTTCTTAAAAGCTGAATAATTCTAAATGAACTCTGTTATTTTGACAAGAAAATACAACAAAGATTATGGTTTACATGTAGCGCGTCGATTCAACGTGGTATGCAAGACTCTCGCTCTTTGCATGTGTGAAACACAGCGCTATCAGTAAAGCGACAGCGAGTCGTGCGCCTTCACACTAGTTTACGGTATGTCAAATACAGGTGCGCTGCGTGCTACATACTGAGCATCCATTGAGTACATGACATGATCCATTGAGCGCATCCAAATAGTACAGATCGCTTGATGGACAGCGAAACTCTGAAGCGCTCAGTCAGCGTGTTTATCGAGTGAAAATCTGTGTTGAACGCCTCTCACACACATACTGGCGAGTAAAATCTAAGAATTTATTAGCCAATGGCTAATGTTAGACATTATTTAGTCGCCCAGAGTAAGATTTAGTCGCATATGCGAGTGATTTACTTGCAATGTAGAGGGTTGATATTGTAGAGGGTTGATATTATTAGTAGTAGTATTAGTAGTACTTAATGTCTAGAGGGCAGGCAACACCTCAGCAGCTCTGTGCATTTGCCACAGGAAGGTTGTCAATTACCAAGCTCATTACCAAGTACAGCCACTAGGGCTGCACGATTAATCGAATGCGATTGTCATGCGCATCTCGTCAGTAAAGCCGGTTCTGTAATCAGTAGTAAATCTCTATCATGTGCTTTCAGATGGAGCAGCATTTACTACACAGAGCCGTAGTTCACTGACAACCTACGCAAAATTGTGTTCATAATCGCAGACGATACAATCACGAAATAATGAAATCGAAAGAAATCGTTCTGCGATTATGAAAGCTGTTTGCGTAGCTTGTCAGTGAACTACGGCTCTGTAGTAAATGCTATTCCATCCGAAGGCACGTGAAAATACCACATTTAATAACATGTTTTTACTCCAAACTCACTTCACAACGTCAGTCGAGTGTTTGAAATAAATCTGTGAGATGATGTGGCTTCTTACACAGAATATGGCACGCAACATATTTCATAGTATTCTAAGCAGTATAAAGGCTATGTTGATTAGCATTGCAATATTATATAGTTTATTATAATAAAAATTATAAGACGAACTCAGATAAACAATGTTGTCGTAGTCGTGTGTTTATTAGTCACGTTGAATCAATGAAAGCAGTTAAAGCTTCTGTTTATTCGGCAACCGCTATAGGGATTTCCTGATTTCTCCTGCGGGGCGTATTTGGAGTTTCAGCGCGAGAGCGCCCTCTGGCCTTCAGATGGAGATTTACTGCGGATCATAGAACCGCGCTTCACTAAAAGATACACATGACAATAGCCGCTTCAGCCTAACCGCGATTTATCGCCTTTGCGATTTAATTTTTATTAATCGTGCAGCCCTACCAGCCACTAACATTAGAATACCCTGTCAACTAACTGTTGCTCAGCAGTGAGAACCAGCCATCTGAGAGATGCATGCTGGGGGATGGAGGGAGGAGGGTCTGCTGACAGTTTTGGGTCAGGATTAGAAATATTTGTCATTTTCAATCAGCACCTTTGATGCACCACACTGTGCAAGAAAGACCAGCCGACCAGGCATGAGCGTGGAAACATCTGTTATGCCTCAGCTTTTGTTTCCGTTCAGTTGCTCAGCTCAATGCTGTTGACTTTTCTGCACCATTTCACTATAAACAAAATTACATTGGGGTTAAATGGAAAAAGAGTGGGGCTGACATGTCAGCTTGAAATCACCCAAAAAAATCTGTCATCACATTTTTTTTTATCTTTGGCATTTTCTGCCTTTTCTTTATAATGCCATTTAATTACACCCACTGTCATTCCAAACCTGTATGACTGACTTTTTTCTGTAAAACACAAATGAAGATATTTGAAAAATATGTGTTTTGTCTACAAAAAGAAAGTCTTGGGGGTCCAAAACAACACTGGTCCCCACTGACATTCAATGCATGGACAAAAATACAAACACACACACACACACACAGAAACATTTTTCAAAATCTCTTCATTGGTGTCCCACAAAATAAAGTCATTCAGGCTTCGAACATGTTGGTGAGCAAATAATTAATTTTTAGGTGGAATTCATTTTGACCAAAAACGCAGTTCTTGCACCAAACGAACAATTGCGGAATGCACTGAAAACTATCTGACCATTCTTGTTAAAGTTTGCATAGCTCGGGTGCACTTTGAACCCGTTGTGCACCTCGACTCACAGTGAAACAGATTTGAGGAAATCAGCTGTGGGCTTTCGCTCATGCTAAGGAATGTGTCCCAGGTACTTGTTTACAACTTTCTGCCATCTTGGTTTCCTGGCTACAGGCAAACCTGTTGCACCACACAAAGGGGAAAAATATGCAGTCTGATTGCAATCACTTTTCCATTTCTGTGTACTCTGTAGAATTACTACATCGGTAAAAACCAAAAGGAGGAAAGGAAAAACACACCCGGTGCGCAATCCCAAAGCTTGAGCCAGTGGAGCTTGAAAAGATTCTAATATAATCTTAGGCATTCCTGCACAGATTTTGTGTTAAAGTCCAAGAGGACTTAAGTGGTAAAGCTGGCACTGATCATGGGTTCTGGATGAACAAAGCAATATTTCAACATCAGAAAACACTGAAATTGAGCCTAAAATAAATCAATTTTAGGTGCTTTGATGTATGTGTGTGTGTGTATGATTTGAGAAGTGAATTGTATTACAAAATAAAGAGGATCTGAATTATCACAGAATCACAGCTGTACACATGAGTAATGGACTCAGCATGCATCTGTTTACTGAATTAGCAAGTATGCATTCCCAGAGCATGCAATACTTATCACGTACCTATCCCTTGGGTCAATCCAACTGGTGGTGTGGTTAATATGGTCTATATAATAGACCTTCCCGTCAAAATCTCGGGCCTCTTCCCAACCCTCTGGCAATGGTAACTCCTTCCTTGGCATGACCAACTAGTCTCCATGTAATTTTCTCTGTAAGTCTTCTAAACTGAGTTGAAAGCAAACCATGTGTTGCTTTTCATGGACTAGTCCAAATGTAAACCTAACGCATAAGGAAAGTGCCATTAATTAGACACAGATGTATTCCATATAATCCATGATACGGTTTCCAATATTCCAGGTTCAGTTCCTGCAGCCTATACCGAGCATTGTTTTCACGAGCGAATGCTGTTAAATGAATGGATGAGGGTGTGATGCTCTGAATCGGGTAACTTTGCCGCAAGAGTTGCGCTTATGGTGAGAAACTCTTCGTTTCTTGTGCATTCTCGGTCAAGTACGGAATACATCAATCATCTTTTCTGGCGGAGCCTGATGGATGGTTAACTCGCGCGAAACGTCAGAACGCGAAACTTTCAACGGCCGTGCGCGAGAGTTTTCCTCCAAGAAAAGAAAACAAAACCAAAAAGCAATTTCCAAGTCCACACAATTCCCTATGAGCAGTAAAGACAGCAAACGAATTAATTCCCTAGCATTATCCACAAATATTTGAGCGCGTCTAGAGTTTTTTTCCCCCCTCGCTCAGTGTCTGCCCACCATGTTTTAGCGACAACTGTGCTAGCCTGTTAGCCCAAAAGCTCGTTATATAGGCAACGCAAACAGTTACTCCATACACACGTATTCCGTATCTTCTCGATTTGTCGATGCATTCAAATCACTTCCACAGCATTTTAGCAATTTCTTTGGAAAGTAGCGCGTTTCTTTCTCATTTGTTTCCAAATGTTGTCTTCTCCTTTAAGTGGCTGTGTGCGGTTCTCCGCTGTAGTCAAGCTCGGTCGCTATGCTGCGGTTGAAATGGATTACGTCACACAGGTGATGGCCGTAGCCCTTCTAGTAGCAGTGCACCAATACGGTTTATAATTTCGTACGTTATAAATGATAAATGAACAGTTCTTCCTATTTATTACGTATGGGCGGTTTTGTGAACATGTATCACTGGAATAAAGATCAACTCTTAAGTGGATTTTTCAAATTCAGTGTGTGATAATATTGATGTGTGATAGTAATGACCAGTGTTGGGGAAAGTTACTTTTAAAAGTAATGCATTACAATATTGCGTTACTCCATAAAAAGTAACTAATTACGGTACTTAGTTACTTTTTATGGAAAGTAACGCGTTACGTTACTTTTGCGTTACTTTTAAAATCTGGACAGGGCTTGCTTGTTTGTTTTTAAAATAAAACAGTTCTATTTATGGCAAATATAAAAGCCTTTTCACACCAAAAGTGAAATGAATAAGCCTCAGGCTGAAGGGAAAGTAAATTTACGTCCGTACAGTAGAATGCAGAAGAAGAACTTTCAACACACTTCAGCAATAAAAAAAGACACACAGATGTTTGTCTAGAGTAATTTCTGCTTATTAGTACGGTTGAACTGGATCAGCGAAGGTCAGAAGCAAAGACATTGGTTAATAGAATGGGATTAAATACATAAAGGGTATTTGTGTTGTTTAACATTTAATTATTGCAGGTTCTGAGTTGCATTATTTTTATTCATTTTGAGGAATACTGAATCTGTGTGTTTTTTTTGTGAGATGAGTTAATGCATATTGATATTTATTTTAGAACTACATCTTCTGATTTCTCTCAGGATTGATTGACAGGAGAGCTGTCAATCAATAAATTGAAAAAGTAACTCAGATATTCTCTTGTAAATTAAAAAGTAATGCTTTAACTTTTCTTTCTTTCCTTTTTGTCTGTCTCTGTTTGTTTTGTAATTTGCTTTTAACCCAAAAATGTTTCGGTATACACCATAGTTTTAGTGTCATACACATATCACGGTACAACAACTGATCTATATAATTATATACAACACAATTTTCAGGCAGCAAATTTAAGTTGAACTGTAATTTATTATTGTTGTTGTTATTAATATTATTACTTTATACGAAACCATGTAACCATCCTTCATTTGTAATCTCAAGACATGATGGTTTCTATGGAAGACCAAAAGTGCCAAAAACACGTTTCTCCACCCCTCGTCTCTCACCCGCTATAAGGAAACTGGGCGTGTGCTTTTCAAAACAAGCAGGCGGATCACGTGCACTGGAGAGCAAAAGCAGCAGCTCGCGCACCGAGCTTCAGGTGAGCTCATGGTTGTACTGCATCATATCTCCATGGCATTCAGCGCTGCTATGGCTGCGGTCGGGACCGCGCTGTTTATCGCACTCAATCACATTGATAAAAGACGGGTATGGACACCAGAGTCAGACTACTACATGTTCCGAGAGGTGAGTATGAAACAAAATAAATTGTTTCTCTTTTTATGATGCCGCCTATCGCGCGTGATAGGTAGAGACAATCGTTAAGGGAACTCTCAGTCAATTGAACTGTAGGCATTCATGTGCATTCAGGTTATATTATTATTCTTAAAATGTACTTTTTGAGAAATCATAGTATAGATAAAAGTAATCCTGTTTGTCTTATTTCTCTTTATTTGTAATGGATTTGTAATATTTCTCACTAAAAGTTCAATACCCATCTGCATGAAAGACTATTGCAAACGTATTATTGTTTATTATCAAAAAAGATAAAAACGATATTTAGATATAGTTCCCTCTAAATATTAATAAAGCGCATATAGTTCCCAAGACCGTGGAATACTCGATAATATCATAAAATTATCTTAAAGACATGGACATTTCTATAGGCCTAGTGAATATAAATATTAGGTTATGCTCAGCTCTATAATAATTCAGTCAGCAGCTAGGTATTGATCTTGGAAGAGATTGCTTTCAAATGATGTTCAGTTGTTCTTTTGAGTCGGCTCATTTCAATGAATCAGTAACTATTCATTAGGGAAAGATCATGAAAGTTCATTGGCCAGAAAAGTATATGGATTATTCATTGTGAACATAAAGTTGCAACAATACACTTACAATAATACAGTACAATTTGTACTGTATGTGCCACATAATCTAGTATGGTAACATTTGATGTAGAGTGCAACAGAGTAGCCAAAGTAACAGAAAACTAGTCAGTCTGTCTGTTTTTACACAACTAAGACACTAATTAATGATACCAAGACTCTTGACTATTTGTACACATAATTGTGCATAATTAATTCCGGCAGCTTGCGATAAAATCCCAGCACCACACTCTGGATAAGCACTGGCAGACTCTAAATCTAATTCTGTTCCATTGCTCATTTCACTCCCTTCTCTTCCATGAACATGTATATATTTAGGAGGAGGAGGAGCACAGTGAGAAGCAGGTGCTTGTTCTTGGGTTGGACGGCGCTGGTAAGAGCAGCGTTCTGCAGGGGCTGAGTGGAGTGGGCTCCAGGAGGGGCTGCCGACCCACACGTGGCTTCAACTTCATCAGCCTACACACACCTGCATGCCAGCTGGACTTCTTGGAAAGTATGGATCAGTGCCAGACCACCCTGTTCACTTGCATACCTTTGTAAGGAAGAAGTACAATTTAGCATAGTTTTAAAAAGAGTACTTTTACAGAAAGAATATACTTTTAAAATAATACTTTAAAAATTAATGTTTTCTGACACTTAATTGCATGTTATTTAAATTAAAATATACAGTATTATAGTTTAAATTTATATTAAATGCAGCTTGAGAGTGTGAACTTGACAGTATTTTAGCCCATTTAAATAGGATTATGTACATCTTTACATCCATGTGTCATTTTCTTAACACTTTTGTCTTGTAATGGCTAAAGTGTTATGCTGAATGTATTAAGAAATGTAGTTAATAAAACTGTACTCTCTTAAGAACACTTACATTGCCTTTTATTTCATTGATATTATGTTATCTGTAAGTTCAGTTTTTTTTTTCAATTTGAAGTACACTACTATTCAATACAATTAAGTGCACTTCTTTTTCACAACGGTATGCTCCTATTTCTCATGTGGGATACTTTAATTCTTGCTCTACAAGTAATAATGATTCAGTTAATGTCTTATTTATTATTTTAGAAAAGCCTGTTCATCTGTGTCTATGGCAGTAATAACACATCATACAGTCAATTCCTGTTTTGATTATCTTTTCCCATCAGTTGGAGGGGGTGAAGACTTGCGAATGTACTGGGTGGATTACTAAGGAGAACACATATCTTGGTGTACGTGGTGGACTCATCTGATAGAGGCCGGCTATTGAAAATATAACCTTTCTTTCTCTTTGGATTTTGAGGTGGAATAGGTACATTCTGTGAGATTAACCTAATTTATCCATGCATGCTAGATTGTGTGGTTGACAGTGGATACCTCAGATAATTTTCTTTTCATAACTGTGATATATGCTTCAATTGGAGATTTTGTTTTGACGTTGCACAGTTGTACAGCCGTGGCCAAAAGTTTTGAGAATGACACAAATGTACATTTTCACAAAGTCTGCTGCCTCAGTTTTTATGATGGCAATTTGCATATACTCCAGAATGTTATGAAGAGTGATCAGATGAATTGCAATTAATTGCAAAGTCCCTCTTCGCCATGAAAATTAACTTAATCCCAAAAACATTTCCACTGTATTACAGCCTTGCCACAAAAGGACCAGCTGACATCATGTCAGTGATTCTCTCATTAACACAGGTGAGAGTGTTGATGAGGACAAGGCTAGAGATCACTCTGTCATGCTGATTGAGTTAGAGTAACAGACTGGAAGCTTGAAAAGGAGGGTGGTGCTTGAAATCATTGTTTTCCTCTGTTAACTATGGTTACCTGCAAGGAAACATGTGCAGTTATCATTGCTCAGGAATGGCAGCAGGCAGGTGTGAGTGCATCTGCACGCATAGTGAGGCGAAGACTTTTGCAGGATTGCCTGGTGTCAAGAAGGGCAGCAAAGATCCCACTTCTCTCCAGGAAAAACATCGGGGACAGACTGATATTCTCCAAAAGGTACAGGGATTGGACTGCTGAGGCCTGGGGTAACGTCATTCTCTCTGATTAAACCCCTTTTCTGATTGTTTGGCTATCTATCCATACATACATACATACACACACACACACACACACACACACACACACACACACAGTGGTATAGAATAGATTCACCCATTTTTAGGAGGGGGCTGATCCTTTTCCAACTCAGTGATTCTGTTTTTTTTGTTGTTTTTTTGTTTTTTCTGACATGTTGGTGTTATATCTTTCACTTGGATGTTATTAAGTTGCACTGAGTAAATACAGCTGGATAAAACAAAAACTGTCCGTTTTAGGCTGCAAAGCAACAAAATGTGATTATTCAGGATTGCCTGGTGTCAAGAAGGGCAGCAAAGATCCCACTTCTCTCCAGGAAAAACATCGGGGACAGACTGATATTCTCCAAAAGGTACAGGGATTGGACTGCTGAGGCCTGGGGTAACGTCATTCTCTCTGATTAAACCCCTTTTCTGATTGTTTGGGGCATCCGGAATAAAGCTTGTCCGGAGAGGAAAAGGTGAGCGCTTCCATCAGTCCTGTGTCATGCCAACAGTAAAGCATCCTGAGACCATTCATGTGTGGGGTTGCTTCTCAGCCAAGGGAGAGGGCTCACTCACAGTTTTGCTTAAGAACACAGCCATGAATAAAGAATGGTACAAAAACATCCTCCGAGAGCAACTTCTCCCAACCATCCAAGAACAGTTTGGTGATGAACAATGGCTTTTTCAGCATGCTGGAGCACATTGCCATAAGGCAAAAGTGATAACTAAGTGGCTCGGGGAACAAAACATCAACATTTTGGGTCCATGGCCAGGAAACTCCCCAGACCTTAATCCCACTGAGAACTTGTGGTCAATCCTCAAGAGGCGGGTGGACAAACAAAAACCCACAAATTCTGACAAACTCCAAGCATTGATTATGCAAGAATGCGCTGCCATCAGTCAGGATGTGGCCCAGAACTTGATTGACAGCATGCCAGGGCGAATTGCAGAGGTCTTGAAAAAGAAGGGTCAACACTGCAAATACATATTTAGTAAGTTTAGTCTTTGCATAAACGTATTGTAATTGTCAATAAAAGCCTTTGACACTTATATTCTTGTAATTATACTTCAGTATACCATAGTAACTTCTGACAAAAAGATCTAAAAACACTGTAGCAGCAGACTTTATGAAAATTAATATTTGTGTCATTCTCAAAACTTTTGGCCATGGCTGTACAACAATAAGGCCTCTTCACTGTGAAATCAATATAGTCTGGTTATGCAAGTGGTTTGAATTACCATCAACAAGAGCTAGTGGTATGGAGGGAGAACTAAATGAAATTCATCTCGCATTCAGTCTCTTGAAAACTATGGCTTAAGCCAGAGCTCAAATGGACAAATGAAATGCCTCTATGAATGCAAATGCATTGTTTTGTCTTATAGTGAGGGTTTTACAATGCTGATCACTCAGAACTCTTATATTATTGATAATCCTGGAAAGGAAATGTGTGGCTAATAATTTGATATAACTTGCATAACAGCTGCTGACAGATTCAGACTTCTTATTCACAACCAGTCGTGCGCATTTTATTTAGCATGTGACAATTCTTAGAAACAGTGATGAAGCAACAATATCTAGAGAAGCACTACTGCGTGCAAATATGAACAAATCTCTGTAATTATTGTGTCTTAAATCAATGTTCTGGGTTCAGCTCTATCAACAGCATTTTTGGCATAAAGTTGAATGCAGAAAATATCTGACTTGTTGGTTTTGTGTTTTTTATTCCATAAAATCCTATGGCTATACTTTAAAACTATATTATTTTATTATTGGTGTATTATTTTCTTGGAAAAAAATTAACATAGGTGCGGTCACATTTACAGTTGCTCTGTAGGAAAAATCACATTTTCAATAAGAATCTGCATGATCTGTAATTTTGCATAAGAGTGAAACTTTTCTGCGTGCATATTTCAAGTCAGGTTTGCAATGTTCCACATGAATTTGCAGCAGTGACTAACAGAATGCTGCTTGGTTTAACGCATTGCTACTGACTGTGGACAATAGACCTTTTTTTTTTGGCAAAGTTCTACTAATCTGACAGCGTTTTTGTAACAACATTAAAATAAATAATAATTGTTTAATGTAAATGTATAACCACAATGACGCTCTTTAAAAAACAACTCAAAATTATTTTGAGATAGCATAACTTGTACTGAACCCAGATTCTTTTTCTTTATGTTGCATTGTATTGAAGAGTTGTTTTCACTCCTGTGTATTATATTTATATGCCAAAACACATTAAACTTACCCATTAATATATCAGAATTTATACTTCACAAAAAGAAAATACAAAGGCAAAACTTACATACATCGGAAAATTCTCAAGTTGCTCACTAGATTCATATACACATCATTTAAAAGTTAACATTCTTAATGAATGTTGGCATAGTAGAAACAAACTGTTGAAAATCTCCTCTCTGTGTAAACACTCATCCTTAAGACTCCTCACATTTGCAACACACATGACAGATACCAAGGTGATATTCTGATATATATCAGTTTGAGACACCAGTTCTTCGCTGTGACATCACGTAGACTTCTGAGAAGTCTTGACTCTCGCACTACACACTGTTGCACATCTCTCCGGACTACATATCCCATCATTCATTGCACTGATTGCACTCAGCACTGCACCCAGCTGTTTCATATCACTCCCTCACTATTTAACACTCACTCTGTTTCCTTCCCTCTGCCGAGTATTGTCTAGCGATTATCACTCTCTTAGCGCTAGCTACTCTACAGAGCCCTTAGCCCTTAGCCCTTAGCCCTAGGTTTTGACCTTAGCCTTAGGTTTTGACCTTAGCCTTAGGTTTTGACCTTAGCGCCTTGTCTGTTTCCTTCGGTTTCGATCTTAGCCTTAGCCTTAGCCTTAGCTTAGTTTTGCTTTGCCTTGTCTGTCTCTTTCGGTTTTGATCTTCGCCTGTTTTCCTGGACTTCTCCCTTTAGCCTTGCCCCTGTCACATTTGCAACACACATGACAGATACCAAGGTGATATTCTGATATATATCAGTTTGAGACACCAGTTCTTCGCTGTGACATCACGTAGACTTCTGAGATTGCAGAGATGCAATGAACACAGCATATTCCTCAGGATGACACCGTTTGTATAATTCCACTTTCCGTTTGATCTGCTTTGGTGTGACCTGATAGTAGTTTTTCTTATCCCTTGCCATTGCCTGAAATGCCAATAAAACACAATCAGTTATGTGATTGTGAACTATCAAAGGAGTCCTTTTTTAATGTCTGGGACGATCATTGATATATACAGCTCTCTTTTACCTTATAATCCTGATTGTGTTCCTTCACCATGTATTGAACATATTCAGTCATGTCAGTGGAGCATGTGGTTCTGTCCTCGCCACGGAGACTGGCCTCTACCTCCATTGCTGCAATTTAGACAACAAATCATATTATGCAGCTCATGAAAATATTTATAAATTACAAAACCAGCTGAGAACCACTAGTGTTAATGCATACCTTCAATGACGTACGGTTTTAAAACATTTGTCTCCACTGGTTTACTTTCCATATCCTGAAACATCAGTTAAATGCATTAAGTTATCATAAGCAGAAAGGATTTGTATAAATACATTGTGACAGTGATTCAAGCTTAGTACTTGCCTTTTTGTTTTTAATAGGAAGCATACCCTTCATCCCAAGTGACAGCCCCATGTCTTGTAGATTTTGCTTTACTGTTTTGAGTTCATCCCAAGCATTACGTATCTGAGGACTTCAAATCAGCCATGTTAATCAACCCATTGTATGACACACTTCATAATGCATGTGTCACGAATCCGGTCCATGAACTTCCAATTTCATTGACTCTCGCACTACACACTGTTGCACATCTCTCCGGACTACATATCCCATCATTCATTGCACTGATTGCACTCAGCACTGCACACAGCTGTTTACACTGATTGCACCCAGCTGTTTCATATCACTCCCTCACTATTTAACACTCACTCTGTTTCCTTCCCTCTGCCGAGTATTGTCTAGCGATTATCACTCTCCTAGCGCTAGCTACTCTACAGAGCCCTTAGCCCTTAGCCCTTAGCCCTTAGCCCTTGACCTTAGCCCTAGGTTTTGACCTTAGCCTTAGGTTTTGACCTTAGCCTTAGCCTAGTTTTGCCTTGCCTTGTCTGTTTCCTTCGGTTTCGATCTTAGCCTTAGCCTTAGCCTTAGCTTAGTTTTGCTTTGCCTTGTCTGTCTCTTTCGGTTTTGATCTTCGCCTGTTTTCCTGGACTTCTCCCTTTAGCCTTGCCCCTGTGACTCTGTCTGCCTATCGTTGACCCACGCTAGCCTTAGGATTATTCTTGTGTCTTGCCCGCCATATTCCTGGTTGCCACTGTTTGACCCTGCCTGTCTTATGACCATGTCCCTGTCTTCTCCAAATAAAGCTTTGCATATGGATCCGTATGTCTCAAGTCTCGTCAGCCCCGTTACAGCATGACTTTGTGGAGTACAAGTCAACAACAGACGTTTCAAATGACAGTAACCTTTAAAAAAAGCATACACTTGAGCATACTTTGAAAAATAGTACTTATATAAACACATCTCGTTATATGTAATTTCATAATAACTGCTGTCGAATTTACAGACAAGTATTTATGGTAAACTAAAATATACACTGGATGTCATTTCTGTTGAAATGTTTATGTCATGCATTTAAATACATTTGTAATGACGAAGTTGCAATTTAAAGTTTATATATGAACTTTAAATGTAATATCGATTTACACACTACAGTTAAAGGTCTGTTAGTCAACAACAAAATAGATGTAATTTAAAGCGTGACAAAAGATTACTATTTAAAGACCAATTCACTATCTCAACAAATTAGAATACTTCATAAGACCAATAAAAAAAATTTTTTAGTGAATTGTTGGCCTTCTGGAAAGTATGTTCATTTACTGCACATGTACTCAATACTTGGTAGGGGCTCCTTTTGCTTTAATTACTGCCTCAATTCGGCGTGGCATGGAGGTGATCAGTTTGTGGCACTGCTGAGGTGGTATGGAAGCTCAGGTTTCTTTGACAGTGGCCTTCAGCTCACCTGCATTTTTTGGTCTCGTTTCTCATTTTCCTCTTGACAATTTTTCAGGTTCAGGTCTGGTGAGTTTGCTGGCCAGTCAAGCACACCAACACCATGGTCATTTAACCAACTTTTGGTGCTTTTGGCAGTGTGGGCAGGTGCCAAATCCTGCTGGAAAATGAAATCAGCATCTTCAAAAAGCTGGTCAGCAGAAGGAAACATGAAGTGCTCCAAAATATTGAGATGCACCTGTGTGTGCGGTTTCTCCTTCCTTATTATCTTCTTTTTCAGATTATTTTTGTTTTTATTGTAATTAAACTTACTACGATTATGTGATTTTTTTTGGTTTTACCCATTACTGTATAATACACCAGTTAACCACAGTCTTGACTCTGTAGCACGCGTGCAGTGTTGCCAGATTGGATGGACGATTTCCAGCCCAAAAGCTCACAAAAACCCGCCCAAAACTTTTAACTGTCAAAATAATGTTATAGAATATGTAAATCAAGGTTGATAAGGGCCATTTTAACTCCTTAAGACAAAATATTGACAACAAAATAATATAAATTATAAATAAGATACATTTCGCAGGTAAACGGATCAAATCGGGGCGAATAGCCTACATTAAAGAGAATTAGGCTACCGAACATGAATAAAATATGCAAGCAGACACTGTCAAAATGGCAATCATGAAATGAACCTGATACCCTCGAAACAACACATGCATGATTTTCAATGTCAGCAGTCAGAATAATCCAGTTTAAATGCAAAAAGTGCCCAATATAAGTGATAGGAAAATGCAACGGGTATTTCACACTCGTTCATGCGCACACCATGCGGGGAAGTCGTGGCCTAATGGTTAGAGAGTCGGACTCGTAACCCAACGGTTACGGGTTCGAGTCTCGTACTGGCAGATAATTGTAGGTGGGGGGAGTGAATGTACTCCCACCTTCAATACCATGACTGAGGTGCCTTTGAGCAAGGCACTGAACCCCCAACTGCTCCGGGTGTGTGTTCACGGTGTGTGTGTGTTCACTGCTGTGTGTGTGCACTTTGGATGGGATAAATGCAAAGCACTAATT